CTTGCCTAATCAAAATTTTCAAAAAGTCCCTACGATCTGTTCGCGCACAATTTTAACCTCTCGTGACCTGCACGTCCGTCGTAATGTGCGTCAACGAAAATGGCGTTCGGTGCCAAAGGAAAAGGAGTAATTAAAAAAAAAAGGACGAGAACAAAAAAATACATAAAAGATCGCAGCCATGAGAAAACGTCGTTATTGTTCCTTGTAAAATCGCAAGTCCGCTTCTGGATAGTGAAAAAATGCGGCGCCGATTCGCAATTCTATTAATAAAGCCTTCCGCGAACCCGGTTGCCCCGTCAGATTATAAAAGCACGTACTTTTCAAAATCGTAGTCTTCTCGTGAACTCGAGTGGAATAAAAAACGTATATAAAAAAAAAAACCAACGAATTTCGTAACAAAATAAATTTGTTCTTTTTCAAAAAAAAAAAAAAAAAATTAGGTACATAACATCGTCTATCCCGTACGCATTAACGTCGTTCCTCACTTTTGATATCACTTGATCACTGGATCCGGTTGGATCCCTACTGATCTTCTGGCGCCAATCAGTTGGCTCGATGAAGCCTCGACTCTTCAGGCCCGCTATCTTCGTGACGAAAGTGTTTCCGAGACGCAAAACGTTGTATATTCTCAATTAAATATCTCCTCGTATTACGAATATGCCGAGAGCTCCTTTCCACCACGTCCATATGACAATAGAGGGACGTCACGGCAATATCAGTAAGGTAACCAAACCGCCAGTCCGATCTCAGCCGACTGAACGTTCCGACGCCCGTTCGGCCGCGTTGTCGACGTTCGCTCCCCGCCATGGCGTCGAAAGGAGACCCGCTCTTTTCGACCCACTGTGACGTTCTGGCTGGCCCCGAGCTAGAGTCGTGGACTCCGCGGCTTCGGAGTCACGGAGGTTTAGGTGGAGACGCAAGACGTTCCTACAGTATCCCCACTTCCTCTTACGATACCCCCACCATAGACCCACCTATCCCCGCCACTACACTGCTTCCCAGCAATGTTGTCGGTGAGGCCTCCCCTCCCCCGCCATCCGGCAGTTCCCCCACCTAGACCAGACTTTCCCCACCATGCGGAAGCAATTCTGTGCCCCTTACTACTGCTTCCTTTCGCGTGTGGTATGTCGTGTGGATGAGTTTCGCCTTTCTGCCGGCAGATTGGCGCCACTGTCCAAGCGCAAGATAGAATTCTTAAGCAGCGAGAGGAGGGAATATTTTTCCCGAGAGTTGAAAATCCCATGGACCTCTTTTTTTCTTTTTTTTTTTTTACACTGGCGAATGCACTGTAGCGTACTATTTTTATTGCAGGAAATTAATTTGTGTTTATCACTCTGCACTTCTTTGTGCGAACCTTCTCCTTGATAGTTTTACGCAACGAATGTCTGGACATGAATACGATTAAATTCTTTTTGATGATGTTTCGGAGTTTATATTTGTAATTGGGACTGAATTGGACTCGAGAGGAATTTAATATTACGTAGCACGTGTTTCGTATTGCTTCGTTAATTTAGTCACACTTCTTATTATATTCAAGAAACGGGTTTTCGTTTGAATTGCCGGAAGAAAAAAAATATGAAAGAAACGTGAGAAATTGTCGCGGGAGTATGTACACACGTGGGATGAGATTAACATAAAAATTTATAGATGATTAATGAGTATTATTAAAAGAATCTTTCGAAGCAATCTTTATTTACTCACGTGGTTTCCAGATTTTAAAGATGTTTTTTTTCTTTCCTTCTATCCTTCTTGGAAACTCAATTAACAATAATCGTACCATCTACGGGTCATTTGACCCTTTTAAAGCCAAAAATACGTTTATAAAAAATTGTCGGTATGTTTAGTGTTAACTGACACTAATGTAAACTCGAACACTTGAAAGATGAATATCATTTTTTTTATTTACATCATTTTCTTGCCCGTTCTCCTGAAATTCTTGTGACGGACGGTAGGTGAATGAACTTTTGGGAATGACACATTCTTTTACGGTACTTTGCAAATTTATGATGAAGAATAAAAAGTATTGGGAGCCGGATGAACGGCGAACAAAATTCATCTTCGGACACCATCATGGGACACAAAAGTACGAGTCTGCCCAGCCACTCGATAGACAACTATCTTATCGCGAAGCATTTATCGTTGACGCTAGTACTTATCGACGCTTATTTATAGCTGATAACTCGGTTATCAGAAGTAGCAACCCTGCTAGGTATGCGTACATTTGACCTCAAACGTGCCACAAATTCGTCAAACGCTTTAAAGACTTTATCTCGAATTTTTCTTTATGAAAACGAAACGGCGCTCAACAGGAATGAGCATGATGAAATTTACGTTTAAAAAAATTGTAACCAAAAGTTCGGCATCACTGATACGAATATTTATCTGCTCCAATTTGTATTCCCTTAATTTTCAAATATCGTGACATCTACCACCAACACTGAATTTAAACGCTCTCCATTGGCCTGACAATTTGTTTTAATCACAAAACCTAACCTCCAACTATGCCGTGAAAACTAAAACTGTCCCATTGCACTTTTCCATTTCACTCTGTAACTTAAGTCTCTGTGCTGATCAGTTATATTTACTTGTTATTACAACAGGTAAAATTGGCTAACAGCCTCTTATTAATGTATGACAATTTTATATCGCAAGAGGATTATACACGCGTGGGACTGGCATCTGCGATCTCGATCAGTCTGATCAGAGCCAGTACGTTTCCCCTACGACACTTTCCCTCCCTTGACTTTAACGTAGCACTCCCACCCTCTCTCGCTGTTGCAACACGAACACAGTAGTGCCACTAGAAAATTCCCTTCGGTATCATCCCTTTCCTCGTCCGTACATTCTCCCTCCACGATCATCCTTGGGCTACCCCTGCACAACCCCCCCAGTGCACAGGGTACGCACACATGGATACACACAGGCTGTCTGTCGATAGCCAACTTGAACAACGCGACGGGCGCATGATCGCTCCACCCCGTGCGGGAGCGTCGCGGCGCACTCCTTTCTTCCTTCCCGTAATTTTTTTTTAAACTCCGCCTCGGCGCGTGTGAAAAATGCGCAGGAAAAAAACGCGCCGCCACTTCCCACCTCTTGCGATTCTGCGACTCCGCCCGCCATTTTACCCCACCACCGCACAACACTGTTACCATCCCTCAATTCCCCGACATTCCTTTTCCTACCATACGCAACCGTTACGCTACCTAACCTCACCAGCGTCGTACCCCACTCCCGAACTCTCTTTTACGGTAGGATTCATCCAGCGGAACATGGCCATCGTTGAAGCTACGAGGTTCCGCGAATGTCCGCGGTGGCGCTCGACGTCGAAGCGCGTGGCGCCATCTCGCGACAATTTTCCTCTACTAGGGAAATGAGCGGGAAATGTACACGAAGGTTATTTTACCATGGGATGCTGAGTTTGCTTCTGAATCGTTCGCGGGTGGTGGTGG